GGTTACCGGTCTCGGTCACGGTCAACGTCTTCAACCTGTAGTTTTGTCGAACCAGCGTAAAGAGCGGGTCCCCACTTCCGACCGGTTCGTACAGCGACGGGTGCGATTTCACGAAATTTAGATCTTCGTACGAGAGTAGAGTCGAGTCGACCGAACAATCGCCCGGTCTGTTGTCCGGAACGTCCTCGTCCGGGATGCGTCCCCAAGGCGCCGTCGGTCGCAAGAACGGACCTCTTTCGAAGTTGTCCCTTATGTCGTCGAGGCCGAAACGGCAGATGGCCGAGGCGGGTATTTCGTGTTTCCCCGTCGTGAAAACTGCGTAGTAGAAGACCTTTCCCCCGCGGACGGTCCGCACGACGTCCTGCAGGTAGTTGAAGCGAAACGGAAATTCCCCTCGGAACGAACAGTCGAGTCGCGCCTTCAGAAAAGTCGTCAAGCTGGAGTCCAGTATCGTTCTGCCTCCCTTGTCGTCGGTGCAAACGCGGGCGATTCGCGAACGGTAAATCTTTTCGCAATTTTCTACGGAAACTTCTCGGAAGAAGAAAAACACTTCTCTTCCCTCTACAAACGAACCAACGAATTTCGGGTGATTCAGCCACAACGAATCGTGCCTCTTGGTTATGAGAGGAACGGCGTTGCCCATCGACCTCGTCAGTGCGGAATCCCTGCCGTTGAAATCGGCTACCGTCCCGGCGTACAGGCTACCCTCCGCGAAGACGGAAGTTACTTTTTGGTTAACGGCGAACGGACAATTGTACAGACCGTCCGTCGCGTTCCTTCTCCTCCAACCACTCTCCAAGTTCGACATCTCGGCATGAATGCACTTCGGTTTCTGAGCGTTGGTTCCGCAGATCAACACTCGACCAACACTCGACCGTTCGTTAAATCCGGAGTTACGATTTTCACGTAGTTCTGGCAGTCGTGTTCTTCCTTCCCTTTCAATCTGCACTTCTTCTTGGCGACCGAGTCCGCCATCCAGTCTAACTTCGTAGTCGTCGAGGATTCTAGAGTTCGATTGAGATCGAACACGAACGCCGAGTTGTTCGCGCCCACGAACAGAGTTCGCCACTCCTTCACCACTCGCATTTCGACGATGGACGAGATGCCGATGCTCGTTGCGAAAGAGACGTCGATTTCGTCCGTCGAAGGCGATTGATCTTCGGTCGGCATAGAATACGCGACCGAAACTAACATCACTATCAGGGCGAAGAAGAACAGCATGCCGATTGTATTCTACTTTCTGCGTCTCGCGTTCATATGTTAATTTCGAAGCCAGTTGTTTCCTTTTAAAGAAGAGATCGTCAAGTATAAAAACAAGAAGAATAAGTAATTCGAGTAGCATTGTTCGTTCGCGACGAACCATGGCGTTGACGTTCAACATCAAACTCGGAGAAGGAAGC